TTTTGCTTTACAGTCTTAGAAAGGTATGATTCTGAACAGCCGAGTGAGCCAAAATGGCAACAAAGGTTCCTAGAACTTGATTCACAAAGAAGCTGGGTAAAAAGACAAATCTTATAGCCCCATGATGATGAACCTATGGCATGCGTGCCAGAGGTGGCACGCAGCGCCCTCTCTGATAGCACGTTAGCTGTCGATTGGGGTGGGTTCTACTTACTGTTACTACTGTTGTGGCTCCAACCCCCGAGCCCATCTTATCGGAGGGAGAAGGCTCCGAACATGAAGGATGGAGCCGGCCAGGCCTCCCTCTCCAGGCCCCTCCTCTCTGGCTGTGCCTCAGGTGTCTGCCGAGGGAGAGGAGATTGGCCAGGAGCCAGGTGTCTCTGATGACAGCGATGACGGTGATACGTCGTTCCTGGATCCACGCCAACGAAGGCGAGATAAACGTTTGCAGCAGATGAGGAGGCGTGCCAGGGATTAAGCTGAGTCACTGGACCACACCCCACAGGCTATATAAGAGAGTGTGGTGGCCATTTAGACTCTGTGACGGACAAAGCTAACTTCTGGCTAGTCACTTTGTACAACGCCTGAATCTACTGAAGGTTTCTGTTTGAGCTGGACTGTTTTGAAAACTGTGTGTATTTGTTGGTGTTTATCTGGTGGATCTCCCTCTTCTTGAAGTAAAGCACTTGGCAGACGGTTATCGTATTGCTGCCAAGTTCCTGATAACGAACCTTGTGTGTGCCAAGTAATTCTTTAATCCCCGGCTGGCTGTTTGTGTGTGTGTGGGGACGGGGATAGAACAACTACCAGTTCGCAATGGGGCAAGCATGCACAGAAGCATTTTCATGATGTCAGGGTCAGTGGACGGATCCTCCCGCCGGTTTTACTACCAGTTCTATAGAACCGGTGCAAACCGGGGGCAACCCACCACTGCTTTCGACCCAGTTCACCTCCGCTGCGAATGTGCACATGCTTCCCGCCAGCCAGTTGGTCTTTGGGTCTCTGCCGTGCATGCATGGGGGGGACAGGTTGTGTGTGTGGGCCGCACATGCATGTGAGGGGGCAGGGTACATGTGGGGGGCTGTGTGCATGCATGGGGGTGGGTGTTGTGGCCCCCCAGTGGCCTGCGCAGATTGTGGCTGATCCCGACGATGAGGAGGCTGGTGTGGTGTCGCGCCAGCAGCCGGACCAGCCGGCGCTCGCTTCGGACAGCGAGGAGGCTGAAGAGGATGTGGTGCCAGAGGCAGAGACTCAGCCAGGGCCTTCAGAACCTCCAAAGGCTCCTTCAAGTGGAGAGAGCGAAGTGGAGGAGCCTCTTCTCAATGCTCGAGCACGCAGGGCTGCCAAAAGGCAGGAGTGGCTACTCAGGAGGAGGAGGTCTCCTCGAGAGTAAGGCTTGAGGATAATTGGCCACTCTCTTAGCCTATTTAAGTCACATGCCATTAGTAAGTTTCTTGCTAGAAACAACTTGTAATTATCATCAGAGCATTTTTGGAAAAGTCTTATCGTATCTTGCTTTCTGGGCTGGTTGCCAACTTTTGCCGGACTTTGGTTTATTCTTGCTACTTAATAAATTTGATAAGGACCGTTGGTGTGTGTCTATATCCTCGGGAATTCAGAGCTGGGGCAGAACAGTGGGGCACATGTGCGGGGGCCGCATGCACATTGCATTTTGGGGATTCAGGTGCGCGCACTTTGGGCACTCGGTCCAGAAAAGGTTAGCCATCACAGCCCTTCATTTTTATTTCCCTGCCTGTTGGAATGCTCATCCCTGCTATGGGATAAACAGCAGGATGAGAATTAAAGTTTGTATTTACAGTCACTGGAAAGGAAGGGATTGCAAGAAAGAAAGCAGGCACCCACCCAGATATACACATTGAAAGAAGTGCACTAGCACCACCTATTTGCCTAGCATGCAAACAGAGCTGTGAGCTATGAGCTACACAGGAGGCAACCAAAACCCTTTACTGTGGAACTGATTAAGGTCTTGTCAGTGTCGGCAGCACTGCCAGCTGGCCAGAGGGTTGTAATCGATTAGTTAAAGGTCACAGAACTAAACCTGTTAACTTGCAGTTAGCACTGCACTATGGAGAAAAGCAGCTCAGAAAGAGATCGCTTGCTTCGGCAATTTCTCCACTCTGCAAGGATGGTTGGCGGACGGAGGGAAAACAAATAGGTCAAGGACAGGACAATGCCCAATTTAACGGGCTGTAACGGCAAACATGTGACTGGGAGAGATGCTACAAAGGTTGTAAATCACAAAATTATTGTGACTGCAAACCAAGGCAGTCGCTAAACAAGGACTAGCTATATAATGCTTCATTCCTGTTACTCCCTACAAAGAGTACACTTTTACAAGAGGACTCTGAAATCTTGCTGAAATGACACGAGACACTTCTAATGTGGTTCCAGATCAGGGGTGGGTTCTATTTACCTTTGCTACCGGTTCGCAACGGGGCCGCGTGCATGCGCAGAAGCATTCTGATGACATCAGGGTCGGTGGGCGGAGCCTCCCGCTGGTTTTACTACCGGTTCTATAGAACCGGTGCGAACCGGGGGCAACCCACCATTGTTCCAGATCCTATAGATAACAGGATCCATCCTAAACAGATTTTACAACTTCTCTGCTTGGGCTAGAGGAGTATGTTTAATCTGAAATCTTTAGAAGATGAATCTTTGCTTGATTCAAAGCATACATATGGACTGGCTGTTCCCTCAGGCCTTAGAGATGAATGGATGGGCCTGTGAATGTTTGAAAGTAGTGAAGAAAAAAAATCCCAGACTATGAGTGAGTAAGCCATTCCAGGGGGGAATGAGTTTTTAAGACTGGCTTGCTGTGTTTAAAGAGTGCTTTGACATAAGAGGAAGGGAAAGTGGTTGGAGAGGAAGGACTGTTGTACAGATAGTCCTCAAATTACAACAGTTCATTTAGTGTCTGTTCAAAGTTACAATGGAACTGAAAAAAGTGACTTATGACCAGTGATGAAATCCAAATTTTTTTGCTATCGGTTCTGTGAGCGTGACTTGGTGGGCGTGGCAGGGGAAGGATATTGCAAAATCTCCTTTCCCACCCCACTCTGGGGCCAGCCAGAGGTGATATCTGCCAGTTCTCCAAACTACTCAAAATTTCTGCTACCGTTTCTCCGACTGCTCAACATTTCCGCTACTGGTTCTCCAGAACCTATAAGAACCTGCTGGATTTTCACAATTACACCGTTGCCCATGGTCATGTGATTTACATTCAGCTGCTTGACAACTGACTCACATATATGACGGTTGCAGTGTCCTGGTGTCATGTAGTCCCCTTTTGCAACTTTCTGACAAGCAAATTCAATGGGGAAGGCAGATTCACTAGTACTAACTTAAGAACTTAAAATTCACTTAACAAATGTGGTGAGAAAAGTCATAAAATGGGGCAAAACTCACTTAATAAATTTCTCACCTAGGCACATACATTTTGGGCTCAATTGTGGTCGTAAGTCGAGGACTACCTGTAATGGCAGACAATAGCAGTTGGAAAAAACCAACCAAAGGCAAGGAAACTGCTTTTAAATGTTGCCAAATGCCAGAAGTAATTGTGAATGGACCAGCCTAAAGATTTACTAGATAAATAAGTAGACTTAACAATTTTGAGCAGGTAAACTTTGAACTTTAGACAAAGGGCATAATCTTCAGGCTTGTGCTTATACTAGGGAGGGTAGGCTTCACCTGAAAAATTGCACAGTTAAGATAATGAATTTTGACACCCAGTCAATCGTGAAACTGCCCAAGAGGCAGTCATTGAAAGGAAGGAATTGTGATAGGTAATTAAATATGTATTCCATCTCTGCAAAGATTAGGAATGAAATTGAATAGTTTAAGTCATGGGTGTCAAACTCACTGCATCACGTTGCTGTCACGTGACATTTTGCGACTTTTTCCCATCTGTGGAGCTGGGCTGGGTGTGGCCTACCCATGACGCATCTTGCCTGCAGGCCACCAGTGTGAGACCCCTGGTTTAAGTCTTCCAGTAGCTGTAAGTCAGTTCCCAATGTTATTGTGATGCGATATGATCGTATGTTTCCTGATCATGCCCCCAGCAGGCTTCAGAATTGTTTGTGTGTGTTGTACTTGGAGTAATTGAGAAGAAAGGAGTATTATCTTTTCTAGAATTTAGATCTATCCTCTTTCAAAATGAAGCCACAGTGATAGGGACTTCGCTTGTAGAATGTCAGAATGAACTGCCTAATTAGAAGCTATATTCACACATTCTAAATAGCAGAGAAACTTTTGTTCCTTCTGGGGTTATATCAGGGGTGAAATGCTACCGGTTCGCACCGGTTCACCCAGTAGTAAAAAAAGGCTACCAGTTCGTCCAGACCGGTATTTCTGATGATCAGCTGTGCCGCGTGATTTATATTCGCTAGAAAGCAGGAAATCCTGCTTTCTAGCGAATCTAAATTGCGCGGCACAACTGTTCTCCCCTCCCTGTTTTACTTACCTTCTTAAGCCTCCTTTTTCTGCGCGAAGCCTGTGTTTGGCACGTACCGCGCATGGTTGGGAGCAAACCAGTGAAGGATTTCACCACTGGGTTGTATAATACTTCGTTAATTGTTTCTATCCTGGAGATGACACAACTTTCTTTGAATGCAAGTAAGCATTCTTGCATTCTTGGTCAAAGAATAAAAAGTGATACTGACATGTTAATCATGTTTAGCTAATTGAATAGGATCATCATGATTCAGATTGAAACTAACAATTAACATGATGGGTACAGCAATTGTTGGACTATGCCCAGGTTGCTTGTTTATGAATTATGCTGGGAATAAAGGCGAATTCTCCAAAGCTGAGCTTCTTATTCTTCAGTGCTGAGTGACCTTGTGAACAAATTATAAGAACAAGAGAAATGATGTCAGTGGAGAAATTGACATATAAAGAGAGAGAGCACCTGGGATTGGAGGAATAGCACACCTTCAATCAAATATTTAGAAATCCTGTGAAATGATGGAAATCCCCCTCAGAACAGTGCAGTAGAAGTGTTTATTCTATAGAAGTGCGAAGACAAAAAAAAAATGAGGCACAAGTTTGATGCCGTCCCCTGAACAAATAAATAAAATAAACCTCCCAAATAAATCTAGAAGTGGAAAATTATATCTCCTGTAGTTTCAGCATCAAATATATGTGGAGAGAATTGGGATTTGCAATGGTTAAGATACAAAACAATCCATTTCAAGGCAGTTAATATGAAAGTATCAGAATTAGTTTCCAGTGGGAAGACTATATTTTCTGTCTCTCTGTGTAGGTTTACAAAATCCAGCTTCTGCAGATAGAAGAATTGTAGTCGCTTGTGAATCTTTATTCATCATTGTAGATGAAGTAATACTGGGAAATGTCGAGTCCTGGAATCCACATTTTTGAAACTGCATGGGAAGGATGCACTGGATGCAGAAAAAAACAAAAAAACAAAACACCACATTTTAAAAAAATGTATATAATAATCATTCCCTTTGATAGCATTTTGATGTTAGAAATGGTCATTCAGTTAATTTCAATTTAATTACTATGACTTCCTCTTCTTCATAGAATCCGAGGACTCATAATTCCATAAAAGTGCTAAGGGTAAGATAATTTACATTTTTTCCCCTGCAGCATAAGTATTCTATGCTTTGAGACAAAAGGTTTCCCTAACATTTTTAAACAGCTTCAAAGGTGAAAGGTGGTGAAGATTCTTAGGAAAAGAATGAGAATTAATATTCTCACTTGCTTGCAAAGATTGTATGAAATTAGGTGAGTTTTAGGCAATCATGAAAGAAAGGGAGTTACAGGGATTAGCAACCCAGATAATTTTTAGCAGAGTTTCTGGAGGAGGAAAGACACACAATGTAAAGATCTTTTCATTCAGAATTAAATGAACTGGAACAAGGTTTATTGCTTCGGTAATATACTTTATATAAGGAAATTTTATTTTAAATGGTTGGAAGTCCCTCCAGAATTGCATGTGAGACAAAGTAAGGAATTTTAAGATGGAGTTGGGTGGGGGAGGCAATATGCAGTGATGAAATTCAAATTTTTTTACTACCGGTTCTGTGGGCGTGGCTTGGTGGGCATGGCAGGGGAAAGATACTGCAAAATACTGCAAAATCTCCATTTCCACTCCACTCCAGGGGAAGGATATTGCAAAATATCCTTCATTCCCACCCTACTCTGGGACCAGCCAGAGGTGGTATTTGCCGGTTCTCCATACTACTTAAAATTTCCGCTACCAGTTCTCTAGAACCTGTCAGAACCTGCTGGATTTCATCCCTGGCAATACGTCTATTTATTCTCCAACCCCAACTAAAAAGTTTTATTAGGATCTCAGGCTAATCCCTGTAAGGATCCAATACGGATAGCCAATACAGGTAGTCCTTAACTTATAACAGTTCATTTAGTGACTGTTCAAAGTTACAACATTGACTTATGACCATTTTTCATCCTTAAGACCTTTGTAGCATCCCTATGAGGATGTGATCAAAATTCAGATACTTGGCAACTAGTTCATACTTATGACTGTTGCAGTGTCACAGGGTGATGTGTCAACTTTTGCAAACTTTTGACAAGCAAAATCAATGGGGAAGCCAGATTCACTTACTAAGATATTAACTGCAGTGATTCACTTAACAACTATGGCAAGAAAGGTTGCAGAATGGGGTAAAACTAACTTAACAAATGTCTCACTTAACAACAAGTGTTGGGCTCAATGGTCGTAAGTCGAGGACGACCTGTATACAAAGAATTCCTCTGTACAAAATGTATAGTTGCAATGGAAAGGTTCCGCATAACAAAACTGCTTTGGAGATAATATTTGCTGCTAGATTTTGCAGCAGCTAAGAAAAATAAAGTATAAAATAAACTTATAATTTTATACTGCAGTAGTTTGCGGAACGAATCTCGACTGAGCAGAAGGAAACATTTTCTTAGTAGTTCAAATGCTTATTTTAACACAAGGAAGCATCTGATAAATTCCGAACAAATATCTTTTGATTATTGTGATAATCAATATACATTAAGCTACCACTGAGAAGAGTTCAGAAATGTCAGCTTGTCCAAAATACAACATCTAGATTGACATCAAAGATTGGTTGTGCGGATTGTTTTCCCCAGCATTTAAAAAAATAATTGAATATGATATACTTTTGGACAAGTATATTCAGAATCTTCTTCTAGTTTTCTAGTCCAACCCCTGCTCTTCCCTGCAATGCCATCACCAACATGATGGCCAGGGGTGGGTTCTAAATTTTTTTACTACCGGTTTTGTGGGTGTGGCTTATTTTGTGGGTGTGGCTTGGAGGTCATGTGACTAGGTGGGCGTGGCTAGCTGGTCAGAGTCATTTCTGGAAGGTCCTCACACTTACGACTAGTCCTCGCACTTACAACCTGACTCATTTGTTTGCTTTTAACATTGATCAGCTGTAGGACAGGCCTTTGAAGCCCGGCGACAAGAGTTTAAACAGTTTTTTTCCCTCTAGTAATCAGCTGGGACTCAGGAGGCAGCAATAGATTGGGGGTGGGACCAAATAAAAGGTAAGAATAACGTGGGTGGGGTGGGGATGGGGGGGAGAACCGGTTCGGTGACGTCATATTGTCACCGCTACTGGCTCGGCCGAACCGGACCGAACCGGGAGGAACCCACCACTGATGATGGCTGACTATGCTAACAATCCAGATTGAAACTTTATATAAATCAAAGCTAGAGGATGAATTGCGATCTAAAAAAAAAAAGAAGAAGAAGTTTGAAGCCTTCCTTTTGGGGCAATTGGGATGGGGACAAGCCTAGATGGGATCCACACTGGATTCTAATGAAACATCTGAAAGATTTTTTTAAAAGGCAAGATCATGATTGCAAACGTACAGTTGAAATCTTCCCCCCTTTTAATGTTATGCCTGTACAAAAGACACAAGGCTTCAATCCTTGCAACTGATATATTGACTTGACCTGTGGATACCATGGAGCTTGGAGCTTCATTAGACCATGGTATACAAGTTAGGAGATGGGGAGAGCAATGGTTTTTCCCTTTTTTTTACTGCCCACTATGCTATCTTTAGGCTTTGTAAAAAATCTATTACTGAAGTGTAACTAAAGGGAGGAAATGCAGAGTGCTGGTTTCAAGATGGCTAAGTGAACAGGCCAGAGGTGGTATTCAGCAGGTTCTGACCAGTTCTGGAGAACTGGTAGCAGAAATTTTGAGTAGTTTGGAGAACCAGTAAATATCACCTCTGACTGCCCCCGCCCCCATCTATTCTCTGCCTCCCAAGTCCCAACTGATCGGAAGGAAATGGGGATTTTGCAGTATCCTTCCCCTGCCACGCCCAAGCCATGCCCACCAAGCCATGCCCACAGAACCGGTAGTAAAAATTTTTTGAATCCCACCACTGAGGCTCAATTCACAAATGCTGTGAGTATTCTTTGGATCTGAGAAGCAACATGAAAAGTGAGCAGCACTTCTCCATAGATTTTCTTCTCCCGATTTAGTCTTCAGCAGGGTTAACACTGTTTTGAGTCTTGAGGATCTAATTTGTAAGACTGAAGAAACAGCATTCCTTGTCTGCAGAACAACTGTGTGGGCTTTATGGAATCCACCGTAAGAAATAGACTTTTAAAATATTATTATGGGCATTAGCTGGAGTTATCTTCGAGACCACCTTCTACCGCATAGCTCCCAGCAACCGGTAAGATCCCACAGAGTTGGTCTCCTCCGGGTCCCGTCAGCTAAGCAATGCTGGCTGGCGGGCCTGCGGGGGAGGCCCGCCAGCCAGCAGGCCCAGCCAGCTGTGGCTGCCCCAGCTCTCTGGAACCAGTTACCTCCTGAGATCCGGACTACCCCCAACCTATTGGCCTTCCGGAAAGCGGTGAAGACTTGGCTGTTCCGGCAGGCCTGGGGCCATTGATCTCGCTGTTGCAATCTTGCGAGATCCGGCCATGAATGGTGTGCATGGGTTTTTAATGTTTTTAAAATGTTTTTATAATGTTTTTTAATAATTTTTCTGTGTTCATTGTTTGCATTGTTTTTGCTGTGAGCCGCCCAGAGTCCCTTGGGAGTTGGGCGGCATAGAAATGCGATAAATTAAATTAAATTAAATTGCAGCAAGTGGAAATGTTGATTGTAGGGTATGTACACGTGGGGAGCATTTAGATAAACTATTTATTTGAGGGTTGTGGAACATTGTTTAGCAGGTGATATGATTAATTTAGTGGAGCTGGAGCTATCTTGCTCCATTCTATGATGGGTTTTATTAGCTCTGTTTTGAGGACAGTTATTTCTGGATGGGGTGCTTGATGACTGCTTGTATCCTGCATATTAAATCATCTAAAGCAGTGGTGTCAAACTAGCATCGTCACAGCATTGTCACATGATGTATCATGACCTTTTCCCCCTTCACTAAACTGGGGGTGGGCGTGGCCAGCGTGTGACGCATCTGGCCCATGGGCTGCGAGTTTGAAACCTTTCATCTTTTAGATAATAGAAAGTTAAACGAGGGAGAGGATAAAAAAGAAATAGAAATCCAGAACACACCAGAGTAAATGAAAAAGGGGGATGGGAGGGGGGGAAAGAAAGAAGATAATAAGAATAAATGTACAATTATGATGATAATAATGATAGATAGAATAAATCTGAAAAGAAATCGAAAAAAAGTACATATACTATTAGAATATAGGAGTTGCTCTGATACCAAACAAGGAGAATAGTCCACAGCAAAGAAGATAGAAAGGAGAGAGGAGGAGAGGGTAGGAAGAGGAGAGGGAGGGAGAGGAATGGAAAAAAGGGAAAAGGAGAGAAAGGAAGGGTAGGGGACAGGAGTAGGAGAGAAGGTGAGAAGGGGGAAAAGAAGAGAGAGGTGGGGGAAAGGAAGGGGAAGTAGGATGAGGTAGGAGAGGAGGAAGGAGAAAGTAGGAGAGGAAAGGGATGGAAGGTAACGAGGAGGAGAAGAAGTAGGTTTGTTGCAAAATGAGGGAAGAAAGGGTAAAAGAGCAACTCCGAATGTAATTAAAATGCCTTATTTTAATGCTTTCTTTAAGGAAAACATGTATATGTATGATTAATTATGTATAAGAAAATGTACATTTTATATTATATGTATACGAAATAAAACTGAAAAACTTTTCAGTTTTTCAAAACCTCTCATCTAAAGTGTTTCATTCATCAGTGGTAATTTCTTATAAAAACATGTTTGAACAACTCTCTTTATGTAATTGCAGTCAGTTGAAAGATAGGTTTTAATCAGCACACTAAAAACTAGATATAGAATGGTTTTACTGTACCATACTAAACAGTTACCTGAAGAGCTGGGAAACTCCTAGCCAAAGATTAGAATATTTCTGTTTGAAATATTTTCAGTATTGTTAAGGAGGAAAAAGCAAGCAAGCAAAAAGCAAGTTTACTTATAAAAGATATACCTTTGGAGAATAAACTACTGATTAAAAGTGAAGTTATCAAAAAAAAAAAATTTTTTTTTTACAAACCTTGCAATCCATGGTGAGATGCATCCATTCTTTCTCCTGACAAACTGTAATTTGTCATATATGGTGATAACTCAAGGTCATATAGTCATATATAGTACAGTTTCCGGATATGCAGAATATATGTGAATCCCATAATGGATAAAGGATAATACTTCAAAGCTCTGATTGTTTGATTTGCTTGTTTTTGGTGCAGCCTTTTTTTTTTTAATGTCCTTAATATCATCAGATCTTCCATTGACAGCTGAGAGTGAGCCAGGAAGTGAAGGGCAGGACAAAGTGGTTTCACTTCTGTTCTGTGCTATCTCAGTTTCTGGAGCTCTTGTCTTAGCCAGGACGGCAAAGGTTGTCCCAGCCTGTGCAACAATTTGGACAGCTCCACATTGTGATCTCTGTAGTAATTTGAAAGGAATGTCCTAGACTGAGAATAAGGGAAAAAAAAATAACTTTCAGATAGTTAACAATGTTTTAGTTTCATGCTTCATTTCTGAAAAATATCCCATGACATAAAATATAATTCCAAGTTATGCAGAAGATGCGCGAAGATTGAGAAATACATATATTTAACTATTCATACATTTCTGAATTAACTAACTATAAATTGATCACAGATTAATTGTTTGATCTTGTATGTCAACTGCATATAGGAACAAGTGTGATTGTAATGTTTGAAGTATTGGATTAAGAGTGGGGAGACTCAGGTTTAAATTCATACTCAGACATGGACATTTATTATAAGACCAATCCAGGGGTGAAATTCAGCAGGTTCTGGAGAACTGGTAGCGGAAATTCTGAGCAGTTTGGAGAACCGGTAGTGGAAATTGTGAGCAGTTTGGAGAACCAGCAGCGGAAATTTTGAGTAGTTCAGAGAATCGGCAAATACCATCTCTGGCTTGACCCAAAGTGGAGTGGGAATGGAGATTTTGCAATATCCTTCCCCCAGGAGTGGGGAGGGAATGGGGATTTTGCAGTATCCTTCCCCTGCCATGCCCACCAAGCCACACCCACATAACTGGTAGTAAAAAAAATTGGATTTCACCACTGGCCCAATCTAATTCTAGGTTCTTATTGCAGCACAAATAATTCTGAACTCTCTATGTATTGTTTAGAATTTTTAGGAGAAAAAGCAGGATATACAGCCAACAAATCATTATCTTGCATAACCATGTGCTTCAGAAGATGGGAATATCTAATCTTTTATTATTATTATTAAATAATTGTATACCTCTATAATCTCCAGGATGTTGAGCAAATGGGAAGAAATCTTCCCATGCCAAGAAAAAGGCAAGAAAAAAAGAAAAGTCAGTTTGGCTATTGGTGTCAAAATCTAGACAAAATCTGTACAATGGTATGCGGTTGCTCCCAGTTCTGTCCGGTTCTTTAGAACCGGTAGTAAAAGTGGTGGGAGGCTCCGCCCATCTGCCCCGACGTTATAATTGATGATCTGTGTATCCATAGAAGCTTCTGCACATGTGTGCACTCCCATTGCAAACCGGTAGTAAAGGTAAGTAGAACCCACCCCTGGTATGCACTGATCAATTACCACATATACTTGTGGACAAGCCAAGAATTTTAGGTGCCACAATGCACTCCAAAATTGGACTTGACTTATTTGCAGGTGGGCTTATCCATGACTTTTTAAAAGTACCATATTTTCCATATATACTCACATATAAGCCCATCCATGGATAAGCCCACCCTTAAATTTTTAATGCAAATACCATGAAAAATGCAAGTAAATTAATCCACGGAGCTGCATTTTTCATAGTATTTGCATTAAAAATTCAAGGGTGGGCTTATCTACTGACGGGCTTATATGTAGTATATATGTTATATCAGCATCTGAATCCATACAGTTTATTGAAAAAGGAGGCTAATCTGGGAACTAACATTACCATTTGTTCAAATAATTACGTTGTGGCCTGTAGGCCGCCAGCCCCTCCGGCAGCCGAATCAGATGAGGAGGTGGCATGGGAGTCGGGGTCAGCATCAAGGAAACCTGAGTGCTCCGAGGGGGAAGAGGGAATGGAACTGGCAGAGAGAGAGAGAGAGAGAGAGATGGAGGCTGGGCCGTCTGTCAGACCTCAGATGGAGATTCAACAGCCCCCAGGTCTGGAGGTGGCTGATGAGGAAGAGGAGGAACAGCTGGGTCCAGTGCCTGACACGCGGATGTGCAGAAGACAGAGGAGAGCAATGGAAATCTGTGGGCTGACCCTTGGGAAGGAAGAGACACTGCTGCTAGCAAAGCCCCACCCTAGCTCTAGGGATAAAAGGCAGGGGCAGAGATGAATAGGTGTGGCAGACAACTATTCATCTCCCTGCCGGACAGACTTGTTAGCCTGCAGTGAGAGAGAAATTTTTGCACTCCTAATAAAGGAATCATTACTTCAACTACAGAGGGTTTGTCGTGTTTGGGCAGCTGGGTCAGAACAAATTATTTTGGGTTTGTATTTATGGCAAATCAAGCATGGAAAGAATAATTGGTGTCACATACTCATAACAGTAATCAGGAGCAACATTAAAAGTTGGGTATCCTCAGTGGTGGGATTCAAATAATTTAACAACCGGTTCTCTGCCCTAATGACCAGCTGGGTAGGAGTGGCTCGGGGGTCATGTGACTGTGTGGGCATGGCCAACTCAATGTCACTCACGTCGATGGGCGCTTCACCTTAGCTGTTACAATGTAATAAGGGTTAACCAGAGAGGCAGTTTCTGTCAGCAGGGCAATAAAGATTAGGCTAGAAACAACACCACAATGTTTCCTTCCTGCCTTCCTTACAGGATTAGCCCTATCAAGTGGGAAAAACCAAAAGAAGATCTCTTCCAACAACCAGTTCTCCAAACTGCTTAGAAAGTTAACAACTGGTTCTCCCGAATAGGTGCGAACTGGCTGAATCCCACCACTGGGTATCCTACACTTCCACAAGAAGCTTCTTCAGGTGGGAGAAGCAATTTCCAGCCTTCAAATCCTCTGGGCCCCATGGCCTTCTTTGTCCTTTATTTGCTCAGCTGAGCAATGAAAAGAGCAAGAACGAGCAATGACTATTCTCTGTGATGACTGTACAGATTACATCCGAAGGAAAAATACAAATAAAAGTTGAGCATCAATAACAAAAAGAGAAGAAGGCTCCTTGCCAAGTGTTCTTCCAAAATGTGAAGTTCATGCTGTTCCCAGTGATGATATATGGTTATTGTTAGGGTCGGACATCTTTTGAAAATTATTTGCAAAGGATGCTTATGAATGCATGAATGCCTGAGTGGTGCACCTGTTTAAACTAAATAAATCTTTTTCAGTATCTTTTTCAGATACTGCATTTACACTCCTTCTGAAACAGAAACACGTCTTTTCAATGATTTTGATGCACACACATACAGCCAAATTCCCCCTTTCAGGCCATACTACCATATTTTTTGGAGTATAAGACACACTTTCCCCACCTAAAAGAGGGTGAAAATGTGGGTGTGTCTTACACACCAAATGTAGTCCCGCCCATTTGCCGGTCCCCACCTTTTGGCCTCTGCCCCCCCAGCAATTTACCTCCTTGCAGCAAACAGCAAACAGCCCATTTCAGCTTCAGCAGAGCTGATTGTCGGTTGGATTGGCCTCCCGACCCTCAGCTGTTTCAGGCTGCAGGGAATACCATTGCCTATTGCCGCACGCCCCATTTGCTGAAAGGAGGCAAACTGCTGGGAGACAGAGGCAGATTTTTTTTTCTTGTGCTAATCAGGCTGTGCTGAAAATGAAACTGAAACTGAAATGGGCTGTTTGCTGTTTGCTGCAAGGAAGCAAATTGCTGGGAGGCAGAGGCAGATTTTTTCCCCCTGTTTCCCCTACCTTAAAAAAGGTAGTCTGGAGCATCTTATACTCCAAAAAATACGGTAAGTATTACACTAAATAACAATAATGTTTCAATTAAAATAATACCTCTTGATCCATGGGAGGGTATTTTCGGCCTTTACTTTTTCCCAGACATTTTATTTTTCCTCCATCCAGCAGCTGACACCAAAATCCTTTCTGAGGATCAAACCTAAAATATTGCATAGGTGAAGGTGGGCATAGGGAGAGGACAATATCCCACAGCAAGCTATTTATTGCAGAAAATCATCTGGGTGTAAGCGAGTGGTTAATTTACTTTTCAAAGTTGGGCATGGATACATTTCAGTGGATTTCAGAATGCACATTAGGGAATCAGCCAGAGACAGTTCTTGCTATTGAATATATTGTTTTGGGACCTGTGACATACTTAGAAGAGTGAAAAAGGCAGCTGTAAAAAACACTGAGAAATTTAATTAAATTTGGCAGATGCCTTGGAAGGCCAATGAATTATTGGTTGGAATGTAGCAATAATGAGCTTGCTCCCAGTTTTTTTTTTTTTTTGCCTTGGGCTTTTTCCAATAATAGCAATATTCCTATATATATATATACACTCACGACAGCACATTTCAGACAAAAGAGAAATTAATTTTCCAACTCAGTCTATTAGGGCATTAATCCTCACCGCCCAAATAATCTTTAATAGTGGTATCAATTAAAACTAAATAAATCATTGATTAAATGGATATGCTGAGAGGAGTTCACTTCTAGCTTGGATTTCCCAGTCTTCCTTGTGCCTTTTGCTGGTTTTCAGTAATTTCCCAAGAGGAGAAATAGTATTGCTCACTGTGCACCAGAAAAGAAATGAAGCTGTAGGATTATATTGCAAACAATATATTTGTTTCCAAGAAATATATTTGGAAGAAAATGTTTAATTGGCAATAATTATTTCTTTGGTCGATTTTTTTGAAGGATGTAGATAGAATTCAATATCATTTAGGCCCATTTATATATTTCACTAGGCATTGGGCTAACACACTATGAAGCTATTAAAAGGAGCTTACAAGTAGTCCTCGACTTACTACCACAATAGAGCCCAACATTTTTGCTGCTCAAGGAGACATTTATTCAGTGAATTTTGCCCCCTTTTACAACCTTTATTGCTACAGTTGTTGAGCGAATCACACAGTTGTGAAGTGAATTTGAGTTCCTCATTGACTTTGCCTGTCAGAAGGTCACAAAAGCTGATCACATGATCCCAGGACACTGAAATCGTCATAAATATGAGTCAGTTGCCAAGCGTCTGAATTTTGATCACCTGACCATCGGGATGGTGCAAAAGTCCTAAGTGTGAAAACAGGTCATAACCAGAGGTGGCATTCAGCTGGTTTGGACTGGTTTACCCAAACCGGTAGCGGAAATCATGGGTGGGCCACCCCGGCTTTATGTCATTCTATTTAGGCATGTTTTTGAGGCTGGGTGCGGGAACAGAAGGCACGTGTGCGAGCAAAGCTCATGCCAGAAGGCCGAGCACTGTGTGGAAGGCAGGCATGTGCACGAACTGGGCACACGCATGAAGCAAGTGTGCACGGGGTGAACCGGTAGTATGATAATCCGAAACCACCCGTCGAGGACCACCCGTCATAACTCACTCTTTTCAGTGCCACTGTAACTTTGAACAGTCACTAAACAAACTGTTGTATGTCGAGGACCACCTTTTTATTATGCTCTATAGAATTCTTTGGTCACAATTATGTAGGTTGGAATATTAGCTGTTGAAGCAGAAAGTAAGTTTTTCTTGATGCAGATAACAACAGCATCAAATGTTTCTCATTTCAGTGCCCATTTCTATAGCCATTTGAAATAAGAAAAATGTGAATATGTTACAAAACAGCAATCACAGCTAGACAGTCCCTTATCTTCATATTTGCAGTCTATTAACAGGCTTTTAAAAGAGTAAACTACTATCGCAAACATAACATGATACTAATGCAAAATACAGAAGTTTAAGAAGAAATGCAACTCACGTTAATGCATCAGAATAATTATAATGAGGAGAAACACTCAGAAACTTCTGAACTCCATCCATCACGGTAGCTGGGTCACTTCTTAATTGCTGTCCATCAATAATTAACAACTGTAGAGATAACGCTAATTGTTTATTTAAATATAAACTCAAAGAATAGAATAGAATAAAATAGAATAGAATAGAACACAACAGAACAGAACAGAATATAATTGTTTATTGGCCAAGTGTAATTGGACACACAGAAATTTATCTTTGGTGTATATGCACTCAGTGTACAATACATAAGGAGAATAAAATACACTCATCAAGAATAAAAAGATACAACACTTAGTGATAGTCAAAGTTACTAATAAGCTATCAAATCGTACTAGGAAACAAAAACAATATACAAGCAACATGATTATAGTAATAAGTGGGAAGAGATAGGTACTAGTAAGGAAGAGAAGAATGATAATAATATAGTCTTAGTAAATTATTTGACAGTGTTGTGAGAATTAGTTGTTAAGCAGAGTGATGGCATTCAGGGAAAAACTGTTCTTGTGTCTAGTTGTTCTGATGTACAGTGCTCTATAGTGTCGTTTTGAGGGTAGGAGTTGAAACAATTTATGTCCAGGATGGGAGGGGTCTGTAGATATTTTCACAGCCCTCATTTTGACTCGTGCAGTATACAGGTCCTCAATGGAAGGGAGGTTGGTAGCAATTATTTTTTCTGCAGATCAAACCAGACAATTATGAAAGTGCAGACTCAATAATTCCTCTGTAGAACTGGATCAGCAGCTCTTTATATGAAATTTGGAAATATAAATTTGGAAGTGTGAAATAACAGCATGATTTATGCATTTGGAAAAAAGTTAAGATTGTCTCATTTTACTTAGCTTAGGAAGACAAACACATCTCCTGTGAGGCATTAGGATTGCTTTGGATGGCCTAGTCAAATTTGGTTTTTCCCATGCCATTAATTGAGCATCATAATAGTGGTCAAACTGGAGTAAGAGTACTAGTGGTCACCGTGCTTCATTTCTTAAATACTAGGAAGATAATTCCACATTCCAACTTTAAAAGTAGGACAAAATAGGTCAATCTTAAGATAGTCCCTGAGACCAAGTTGCTGTAGGAAAACAGTTGCATTTATTAACCTTCCTTGAAAAAAGGAAGCTACACTTAATGGCATAGACTTAAACTAAGACTATTAAAATTTCCTGCTCTGAGAATTAACATTTCAGAAATAGAATTTCCCAAATAAGTCCCAGAAACAGTACACTGAACTTTTGAATATGCCTTTAAGAATATATACATAAAATAATTCTTATTTAAAACATGAGACAGAATCCATACTCTAGACAGTTCTGGATAAAGCCAATTTCAGATTTGTTCCACATAGTTTGTGAAATAATTTCAGTAATTGGAATCATAAATAGAATCAGTGATAAACGAACCAGACGCTGACAACTTAGTTTGAGCTCACAAGCAGAAGTGGGAAGTTTGATGCTTTAGGGATTTCAGTCTGAGAAGTCACTTTGCTGATTGAAAGCAATGATAAAATTATGAGTTCTACAGGTAATCAATAAGACTTTCCTCTTAAAATCCCTGAAGTCAATGTCAATTCCACACTTCAAAATTTCTCAGTTAAAACAGTATTATAAAAATTAAGCTTATCATAAGTAGAGAGTGAAGGCTTTTATGCCAGTTGAAAAGTTATATCTGCCTGAATGTCTATCGGTTTTGTACATGTTTGCTTAGAAGGCAGTAGATATAAACAGGTGTGTGAGTGTGTGTGTTTGTGTGTGTGTGCGTGCGTGCATGTGCACACACAATATAGTCTAAACCAGGGATCAGCAACCTGCGGCTCTGGAGCCGCATGTGGCTCTTTCATTCCTCTGCTGCGACTCCCTGTTGTTCAAAATATACGTCACAACCACCAATGTGCAACACCTGCCAATAAGCGATTTATTGAGATTTTTGACCTCTGGGAGGCCAACAATGGATAATTTCAAGAAAAGAAAAGTTTCAGAAGGAAACAGCATGATTAATGGTATATGGGCAGATTCATTTGCTTTCACTGCTGATGAGACCCCATGGACAATTTAAGTTCGGCTTTTTATTTTATAAATATGAGGAGGACTCAAATAGACATTAAGTATTTTATCTGAAAGTAACTTTCAACCTAGTGACTTTTTTTCGGAGTTCAAAATGTTTTTGTTGCATGCAGAAATAAAAATTTGTTTTCTCTGTAGCATTTCATTGATTTTTTTTTTTTTACATAGCATAAAGGTAAAAAACGATATATGCAGTGATATCTTCATTTTAGATGTCAAAGGGGTTTTGTGGCTCCTGGTGTTTTCTTTTCTGTGGGAAATGGGTCCAAATGGCTCTTTGAATGTTTAAGGTTGCCGACCCCTGCTCTAGATTCTCACACTTTTGGGACAAAGTTTAAACAAGTTTATTATACGAAGTGAAACAAGTTTAAAACTAGCCAGCCAACTGATCTGGCTACTGGTATGGCAAAGTGACAACTGTGCAAATAAATTACCCAACTGGCTGACAGCAGCTCACTCTTTACTCCAGTTCATGTACCACAAATGGAAGATCAAGAAACCAGATAGAATCTATGTGTCATGCACAATTGTTGATTGAGTTCAATTGGTCTGAAGTCATTAAATTCATATAGGACTTCCTTCCTCTATGGTGGTACCAAAATGCAAATAGTAATAAACACCACTGATATGCCAAGTTTTGTTGGTCTGCCTGCCAATCTTGCTAACTCAAGATAGGTCTACTGGCGAAAATGCTTTCCAAGCCAGAGATGTTAATACTAGATATTAGATGTGCATATTCTTCTTTGAAGTTCACTGAATAGTTCATTTTATTGCATGTCTTCTTTATCTTTTATCATCACTGATGCAGACTTCTTTTATTTCTCAATAGTAATGAGACTGGTTAGCATAAAATTACCTACTCAGAAACTTTGGATTATGGCTGAAATCTAATGCTTACGTACAATAATGGCCAAAATTGTGGAAACCTTTTGGGAAAAGTGTATTTTCTAAAACTAGCTAATAACACCAGTTTTTTTTTTTTTTTTGGAGTAGTACCATAAAATTACTTATCAATGGAAAGATAATTTAATCAGGAATGTAATGCAATAACTTTTATGAAGGATTTGCTATTAGAATAGCAGTTACAGTATAAAGAAGGAAAGTGAAACACGTAGAAAAAATGAGATATATAAAAATTATCACCATGGAAAAAATGAGATATACAAAAATTATCACCATGTCAGTTAATACTTAGTCGGGTAACCTTTAACATGAATTACGGCCTTACAACGTCTTCCCATGGAGTGAACCAAGTCTTTTAGTTCTGCAGCTGTTATAATGTGAAACCAAGATTGAATGATTGCTTCTATTAACTGGGTTTTATTGCTGGGTCGCTTCTGACTAACAAGTTTCATTATTCGGCTCCATAGATTAAAGTCTGGGCTATTCCCAGGCCATTCCAGCAGTGGAATATGATTATCTTGAAACTCCAAAAAAGTGGTGTTATTAGCCATCTAACCTCAAAAATATACTTTTCCCAAAAGGTTTCCACAATTTTGGCCACTACTGTAAGTCTCTTTCCTTGAAACTTCTAGATTTATTCTTCAAAAATAGTTCTAATTTCCTCAGTATGAATCTTCAGTATTTAATTGGTAAGAGATTTCAATTCTTTTGAAAGTAATTCTACATTTTAGGAATTGATTTCTGTGTCTAAAGTGCTTTGTGTTTTAAGGAAAAGAACCAGAGGTTTATTAGTTCATTGTTAAACATTTTACAATCCATCATTAAACATGTTCAATGTTGCACAAGTTATAAGGTAACGATGGACATTTATTGCAGAAAATTATTTAGTGAAAAGGCAATTACCTGGGAAGAGGGGAAATATTTTAGCCATCTTTCTATATGGACAGCATACCAGCCAGGTATCAAACATTTCTTCTGTAGGCCCTTTAGTTCAGATGGTGCCCCATCATTTGAAGCAATTACTTCGTAGAAATTGAACTTTAGAGCAGTCGAATCCTCATGAGAACGCTGATGCTAATTGGGAAAAATACAAAGTTAAATGACCACAAGATAGCTGAGAGTTTCCTAATAATTTTTTACCAGTGCCTTTTATCAAATCTAATTGATTTTCCACTTGGCCCCTCTAATGAAATATAATAAAGTATCTTGCAGTACCTGGAAGACTAATAGATTTGTTAGAGTGTATGTGCCACAAAAATGTTCCTATCATAAAATGGTTAGTTTTTAGATACCCAAGAGTCTTATTTTTTTTCCTACAATAACATTATGATGATAAAAAGTATATTGTGAGGATATGCCTAGCCCAGTGATGGCTAACCTTTTTGTCGTTGTGTGCCAAAAGCAGGGGTAGGGCGGGGGGGGGTCACGTGCGTGCGTGCCCACACTCATAATTCAATGTGCCCTGCCCCCTGTGCATGTGCGCGCAACCCCTCCTGTTCTCCCCCCACTTTTGGTACATGATGGCACAGTGGGCCCGGTAGGCCTGTTTTTTGCCCTCCCCAGGCTCCAAAGGCTTTCTAGGAGCCTGGGGAGGGCAAAAATGGCCTTCACTACCTCTTGGAGGCCCTCTGGATGCTGGAAACAGCCCATTCCCCAACTTCCAGTGGGCCTGGAAGGCCCAAAAATCAGTTGGCTGGAGCGCGCATGCGCGCTGGAGCTGAGCTAGCGCAATGCTCATGTTCTCACATATATGGCTCTGGGTGCCACTTGTGGCACGCGTGCCATAGGTTCGCCATTACGGGCCTAGCCTTTTGTAGCACTTACAGTTGTTTTGTAGTACCTACTATTGTTCAGTGACAAGGTGACTATAAAATGCTGCTTTTGACTTTTAAAGTCCTACGTTGGTTCGATTTCAAATATCCTCATATTTGTGTAAAACCTCCCTTTAACTTTAAGACCTTTGAGTGAACCTCTCTTTCATGCTTCTTTCTCTAGAGATATAAGACATAATTATGTGTTAAGGTAAGGGATCTTTTTTAGAGTTCTGATATGTGTCCTCCTGAGAAATCAATATTTCTTCTGACTTTCCTTCTTGTTTTCCTTGCAAAAGATTGCATGAAATGATTCTTGTGGTCCCTGCCATCTTTACAGTTCTATGAAGACCATGCAGTCACACATAAGGGAAATCACAGAACGATTTTCTTAAGGCTTTTATAAATTTTAAATAATGCTGCTTTAATTAGATAGCGGTAACTGATTATCGCACAGTGCCTCAATAGAAGTCATTATCCTCAGTAATATGGGTGCTAAGTGAGTAGGATTTAAAAAATAAAAGAACTGGGAATTGCACAGAGTTGTAGATTTCAGACTGTCATCATCAATTAAGCTCAAATTTCATCATCTGAGGTTCACTTGTATTATAATTTAATACTGCAATACAACAGGAGGTTGCAACAAAAGCTTTGCTTGCGCAGATAGAACTATGCAACATTTTGTTGCAGTGATATAGAGCTGATTGCTAATGGTTTCTTCCCAGGGCCTTCTGACGGCAATGACAGCAGACAAAAGCATGCTTCATCTGTGTAATTTATTACATTAAATAAAGCACTATAAATAGTTAGCTTGCTGTGAGAGTGATGACTTTTGGTCTGATTTCTTACAATTGCGAACTCACCTTTTTCATTAGGAGAATCTTACCTGATACCAGGAGTAGGCTCTGTCGGACGGATCAATGAGGATGGTGATGATTTTTGCTTTGGGTATCAAGGATGCTGCACGTTTGGGAGCATCTTCAGAATGGAAATAGTTGGCACTTTTCTCAAACAAAATATCAGCAGTGATATTTGAAGGGGTAGGGAAAAAATTCATATACCTTCAAATAAAATTACAAAATCAGCAGCGATGATTTAAAACAAAAACAAAACATTTTTCATCTTGCCAAAATAAACTTTTGAAAACATAGATAAGGGGTATAATGTATCTACCGTGTTTCTCCAAAAATAAGACTGGGTCTTCTTTTCTTTTGAGTTCCAAAATAGGCACTAGGTTTTATTTTCAGGGGTTATCTTATTTTTTCCCTCCATGTACAGGAGGCCCACTTCTTCTGCTTGCTCACGGTGAGGCAGGAGGCTGGTTGTACAGACTCTTAAGTAGGGCTTATTTTGGGGGTAGGACTTATATTAGGCACATACATAAAAACCATGCTAGGGCTTATTTTTGGGATAGGGCTTATTTTCAGCGAAACAGGGGTAAGTGAAAGTAAATATAATTGTATGATCTCAGGTACTATTATTTTGAGAAGAAGAAGTCCTTATTAAAGCAGTCTATTGTACAATTTCTGTCTCCTTTTTCTAAATTAAAATGCTCCAGACTCGCCACATTTTACATTTTGGAGTAGTTCTAGGTCTTTGAGCATGCTGATTGCCATTTTCTGTCTATTATTTACAGTATATTATGACTTTTAAGTAGAACCATGGAATTGTGCATGTAACTTTCTCCAAAGTTCTCTTATTTTCAGTTTTCTTGCCCAGCTATTCTTTGAAGCTGTTTCTGTCTTTCTAATACAGTTATTGATACATTTAATGGATCGATTGGGATTTACTTCTCAGTACGCATATATACTGCAAATAGTGTCTTTAGAATAGCCTTTTTCATTATCCTCTTTAACATCTTGTCATGTAATTTTTTTTTAAAAAAACAGCACTGTAATAATGTAAGTCTCCTGGTCCTGCTATTTTCCTCAGCTACATGATAATATTTTTGAAATGGGGCAGAAGATCAAACAAGTATATTCTAAATATAGAAGCTTTATGATAATTCTGATTAATTTTACTTTCTTTTCTTAAACATTTTCAACCTACAACTTCTTTTCTTTATTACTGTTATTTATATGGCATTTAGAACACCTAATTAAAAACAAATGGAAAGATATGAATAACAAACAAAACAAGTTATACAGCTCTTTTCCGAATGGCATTTGATTATAAAGAATACAAATATTGGTATTATAATGACAAATAAAGAAAATCATACTTAGATAAAATTATGCCCAGAAAATTCATCTGAAAATTGTTTAGGTATCACAAATACTTCTATAATGAGTCCTCTGAGATTCAGTATATGCTAAAAACTTTTGTCTTACTATTCTTACCAATCAATTCCCTTATGATAGTTGTTTCCATTAAAGAACTGAACTTCCTCAAAGGTTTTTGGGTTAGGAAGATTACTAATAATGGAAGGATGCATCAGGAGAAATAAATAGAGTGCTGTTGTTCCTACAAGGAAAAGAAAGTAGGATTATATAATAATGCAGAAAAAAAAGCAGTATTTAATTTAAAGAGGTATTAAAAAAATAAAGAATGATTTTCAAGAAATATATTCCAAGGGAAAGAAGAAAATCCCACTTATAGAATGATATATTGATTTTATGTAGGTTTATGACAAATAATTAAGTTAAATTGTTTTTTCTTAAAATTTTCTATATATTTATACGACAACTTTGCTAATATTACGAATTTATTTTCATTACATTGTACTAACAATGTTTTACATTGATCATTATACTATTTTTACTATTATAGGAAAACAGCCATGTTATTGGCAAAACAGTAGTAGTTTGGGAGTCCAAAAAAGTGCCTAAATTGTTTCTCATAGTTTTCCCAGTTCAGGAGGCTTACAAAATCACTACATCCAATACAAAATTGTTTCACTATGTTTAAAAGCAGTTGTTGCTATTGTTTCTGTTGTTTTTTTTTTTTTTACTGTATAATTTCTTACCTGTTTTCTGGGGTCCAATCACAAGAAATTTTGGTAGGTGGCCACAAGTTTTGTCTCTAGACCAAATATCACGATGGCGTCTGTCATCACATGGATTCTGAAAAAAAAACCAAAAACAAATTAGTTTGAAGTAATGTTCAAATCTTTAATATTCTGTCCAGCTGAATATTTAATATTCTGTCCAGGCTGAAAATGGGGCACGTGGAAGCGGCGATAGGTGGCAGCAGTGATGGCCGGTGACGGCAGCAACCACTGCAGCTTGGAACAGCTGATAGTATTCCGGGAGGCTGATCCAACTGCCAATCAGCTGCTTGTGCTAAATCAGGCTGTGCTAAAGCTGACCAGTTTATTTGCTGCTTGCTGCAAGGAATTAAATTGCTGGGAGGCAGATTTCCTCCCTAAAAGCTAATTGCGTCTTATACTTCGGAGCGTCTTATAGTCCAAAAAATACGGTATCTCATGGAAACTACCTTTAAGCACACCTTAAAATACTAGGCATTAGAAGGACAGGTCAGGGGATCCATCCTTCAGAGCACCAGGTGAGTCAACCCATCATATTGGTTTCCATGTGTGCATACTCCATTGCAAGATCCTTCCTTTTGGTGCACAGGGGTGAAGTTCCTCCTTTGCTGTCAAAAGACTTCTAGACTGTTTGTTACTCTTTATAAAATATGAAAAGGTTTCAGGAACCTCCGTCACATGCAGTGCTTAAAGCCTTATTATTCTATAACATAATTGTCTACTTTATCTCATTGTTAATTCACCTCACAAAGCCAATGCATCAAAACAAGTTGCAGTAAAACAATACAGCAGGAAAATTAAAAGCTGTTTTCCCTTCTCCTCCTGATTTCTCTTTTTCTCTCATTAATATCAACCAAGCTGAGAGTTGATACTTTAGAGCCTGACTCCAGGTAGGTGTTAATGAAGGTAATGTAACCACCAGTTCCTTCTCTGCCAAGCAATGTGCTTAGAAAAACATGCTGATTTTGAAAAGGAAATGAAATGGATCTATCAAGCTATGCAAAACAGATTAAAATGTCTGATGTTAATTTTTCCTTTTCTTTTTATTTTTGCCAAGCAACGTTTCACTGCAACGATATTGCAAATAAATATTGGGATCATGCTGTTCAATCAAATAAATGTTACTTTACCTGCCAGAGTGGGTCCTTCTGTTCTGGAAAGAGCTCAAAATATTTATGAGCCAACTGAATTGGACGTAGTGTCTGCAGCTTCAGATTGGTCCAGCTTTGAACAAAACTGGCCAGATTGACAAATGTGTATAACCCTAGTCGGTCATTCCCATAGTTAGATAAGTGGGTCATGAAGATACTGATCTGAAAATAAACACAGAAATGTTAGTGACTTGTAATAACAGGAGGATTTCACTGGGTGGTATTAGGTATATTTCAGATCTGGATATATTGTCCGTTTTTAAAGGGCTGTACTAGCAAACTACTTTAATTGCTGTTCAAGGATGTGCTGTGTATATTTTAATAGATGTATTCTGTTAAAATTTAAATAACAAAAGAGAATAGCAATTAATAGGCCATCTTTGTATGTTGGCACATATGGCACAAATCTTTTTTTTACCCCCAATTCCACCCCTGAAAATCACTTGCATTTCCTAAATTTCTTAGTCTGAATTTTTAAACTGCTCCCATAATTGAATGTTACAGTCAATCCATACAGTAGCTATAATGTAATTCTTGTTAGGTTATGGTTTGAGCCTAACAAGTTGTCCAGGCAATATAAGTGTACTGTAACTTTAATCTGTAAATGTATTATGTCACTTTAAAGTTTTCTTGCTGATTTATTGTAATGCTGAGTCATGCTGTAATTAGGTAATGACTGGTTGTGAGAGTATTTAAGCAAGGTATTGTAACGTGTTCAGTTGCTGCTATGATATGCTGCCATTGTGTATGAAGATGATGTGATATGCTACCAGAGTATGATATGCTGCCATAGTGAGGAGTTGCTAACATTCTGCTAATCATCGTTTGATGGATCTGCTACCATCGTGGTTTGTGAACCAGAGTGAGTTTGTTATTCTAACCAACTACTGTTTGTGTGGTAAGAAGATCTTTGTATCACTGAACTGATTTAACTGGCAAAGACTTGGAATTTGTTTAAAGACGATGAGATTGTTTTTCCACTATAAAGTAAACTTTTGATAAACCAGTTTGCACATCTCTTATTCATTGCTCTCAGCAACGTTTCCTTGTGCATTTACTCTGCTGGTTGGTAACACAACACCAATATCCTTAACAATTCTGATGCATTCACTTTCCACATTTTTGATGGTTATGATACCTGTGTGGTAATAGAAACCCACAGAATTTGTTAACACTTCTGAAAAGTATAATTTGTCTTCAGCAATATTTCCCTTTGCTCACATCTATTTTTAAAATTCAGTTTGGCCCTAAAGTGAAGGTCTGTTTGATTTTCTCAAAGTTGATTTCCTCTTTTAAAATTCATAGTAGCTTTTAAAACTCATAGTAAGTGATACGGACTCTTCCAGATTTCCTTGTATGATACACAAACTTTTGTTTGAAGAAAATATGTTTTCTTCTATCTTTTCTACAACATTATTTTATTCCCTTTTGAATGATTATGGCTTTTCAGAAAGCGATAGATTAAAATCTGAAGAGCATAATGGAAAATAACTTTCATAAAGACACAGTCACTACTTTATTAAGAGATGCCCCTTATCTAATCTAAGGATTTATTGTAAGATTAATCAAAATTAGGATAAGTATCGGAAATATACAAATTGCTCTTAAACACATCAGGATCTAATGATAAGACTCTGTTTCATTCACTTCTATTTAAGCAAAAATATGCCTTTTTAATGGAAATGTAAATTAATGCCACTATTGCAATTACAGGAAAATTGCAATTTAAAAAAATTGTAAGAGTTAAGGCATCGATTGGAAAGTCCTATATAGAAGGAAAGTTATTGCGGGAACCATTTCTTTTCTCAAATATAGGAAGCGTAAGGAATTCTCTGAAGCAACATTTTACCTCAGTGTAAAATGTTGAGACTCGATTTACCAATCGGGTCTCAACATGGAAAATAAAGCAACACAGCTGTATTTCTCCATGTATTCAACAATTATGAGATAGAATAATCTGTCCACAGCAGCCAACTTTCCCAGTTTACAAATAACTTTAAGATATTCTGTTGATAAAGAAAATCTCACTATTATTTATATGAATGGGCAAGCCCTTTCCTTTTTTTTTTTAAAAAAAAAATAATTAGCTGAAGTTTAGGAAATTTCTCAGGGTGGGGAAGTATGGATTTTTTTTTTTAATTTGATTTATATGCTGCCCTTCTCCGGAGACTCAGGGCGGCTTACAATGCGTTAAGCAATAGCCGTCATACTTTTGTATATTTATACAAAGTCATCTTATTGCCCCCACAAACTGGGTCTTCAATTTACCTACTTTAGAAAGGATGGAAGGTTGAGTCAACCTTGAGCCTGGCGGGATTCGATCTTACTTTAATTGCAGACAGCTGGTGTTAAATTACAGAGCTCTGTCTGTTGAGCTATCCAGGCTCAATGGACTTGTCCATTGACTTATCTTCATGGACTTATCTTTGTCCATTGCATTGATTGTGCTTGAATTTTCCTTGGTAGCACTGCATTCATGAGTATAACCAAGTACCGTATAAGAACATTTGCTCAACTGATACAGATCTTACTCAGCCTGATTACATATGGATGATTTAAGGAAACCTATAAATAACGTAACTACCATACTATTCCTTAGCAAGAAGTGATTCTGAATATGAAGACATACAAGTGCATTTTAAAGGAAGCAGTATATGTAACTGCCTGTCCTTTTTATATATTTAAATTTATAACCTGCTTTTCCTTCAGATATGCCATTGTATCAATCCTTTTACAATTGAATAATATTTTGGTGATTCAAGCATTTAGCATTAATGATTCAAATGGAAAAAATTCACCCTCTGCTGTGTTTTTAACATTATAAACAGCCTTCCTCTGTAGTGCACATCCAGGAGATATGAAAAAAGAGTCTCATTATCTATACATGTATTCAGGGGTAGTATTCACTTATCTTCGCCACTGGTTCGCAAATGTGAGTGCGCGCACACGCCACCTCCGCACATGCGCAGAGCATCAAAAACGGGATGTGATGACGTCCAGGCGGGTGGGTGGAGCTTCCCACTGCCACTACCATTTCGCCCGAACCAGATAGAACCGGCTGAGTACCACCACTGCATGTATTGCTCTCCAAAGCATGGTTTTTAAGTTCTATGAGAACTCAGCTTCAAGTGCTTAGGAATTCTTGGGCAATGGGAAACTGTTTTTCAGTACAAATCTAGGTGTTAGGTTATTGCATGTAATTGTGGAGAGATTTGAACAAAAGAATAGACCATTCATGTGTTTCTTTTCAAGTGTGTGGGAGATATTCGTTAATACATTTTCCTAGTCCCACCTGTGTTAGCAAGAAGACAGACACAGGGCTTTTATAACATTTCTATGTTCTACGTTTTTGATTAAATATAGTTCGAGTGTGCAGTTACTCAGAGGGCATAACATATGAAGCAGGGGTGAAATCCAGCAGGTTCTAACAGGTTCTGGAGAACCGGTAGCGGAAATTTTGACTGGTTCGGAGAACCGGCAAATACTACCTCTGGCTGTCCCAAGAGTGGGGTGGGATATTGCAATATCCTTCCCCTGCCACGCCCATCAAGCCACGCCCACAGAACCGGTAGGGAAAAATTTTGAATTTTGCCCCTGATATGATGGCACAACCGAATACATCTCTTGAGCTCCTTAAGCCAAATATTTTTTCTGTGTGATCACGTAAATACCTGAAAAGAATAATGTTTGTGTATGGGAAAAGACATGGCTGGTTTAAGGAGTCCATTTTCATGTCTTCTCATACTGAAGTCCATTTCTGCTTTTGAAGTGAATTGCATGGCCCTAATGTATAGCTTTGCTTTAAGTGTTTCTTGGACAGAAAGCTAAATTGAAGTCTGGCAAACCTGCCATAATTTAGAGTTGCATTTACACCATCCCTTCTGATTTCTACAATAACCACAAGATAGAAGCCATGTGCTTTCCATTTTCACTCCCACACTTCCTGCCAATGTGCTACTTCTTTAACAGTGGGTTTAATAGTGTTTAAAAACATGTCCATCAGTTTGCTAAATTATTTATAAAGCTTTTAGTACATCCATATGGTGAAGATGGAAGGAAGTTAGGAGGCATTTCCCTCATGACCTATCCTTAGCTCTATTAGTGCTGAATGCACTTTATTTCATAGAAGGTCATTCAGGCTGTTTTCATCTTGTTTCTTTCACCCTCTTATGAGCAATATTTAATGAGTTTGTAGTCTTTTTTTAAGAAAAAAATCTGTTTGCTGAAACATTAAGACTTGGTGTAAATTCACTTGAAATAATGGCAGTATCATGACTATCCATAAAATCACCTTAGGACCATTTTTATTCTAGCTCCCTATAAGTAAACTCAACAGAAGAAAATGATATTTCTAAAATCTATTTTCGAATTTTTCAAGGACATAGCTAATAGATACTAATTTAAATATTTTATTTATTTTCTAACTCACATATTTATGTTTTAAAAAACAAAACTCAAAGCATACTGTACATATAACTTTTATCGTTCTGCTGATTATCTCACAACAATGTTTAGTTAGTCATATTTCAATACAATTTCAGGATATGCTGCTGTGACATTTTTTACAGAACTCTAAAGGACATAAAACAATTATAATTGCAATATTTACAATATTTACATGAGCCATAGTGGTGCATTGGTTAGAATGCTAATTCTGCCAACTGCCAGCAGTTTGATTATCACCGGCTCAAGGTTGACTCAGCCTTCCATCCTTCTGGGGTCAGTAAAATGAGGACCCAGATTGTTGGGGGCAATATGTTGATTCTCTAAATCGCTTAGAGAGGGCTGTAAAGCACTGTGAAGCAGTATATAAGTCTAAGTACTATTGCTATTGCTACTTCCTGTTAGTTTTTCCTTTCTTTTTCATATGTGCTTCCTTGATTTAAGGATAATACTTCCTGCTGAGTATTATCTGAACTGTCTCTGTGTCTCCATTATATTTTTTAATTTATTTGGCTTCAGGACAAGACAGTGCAGACAATTAGAGATTGGTATTTGGATGGTGGCTCCTTCCTGCCAAGTTTTTAAGGAGTATTTCTGGCCATCAGACCTTAACAAAGTAGTAGCAGAAATCAGTAATTAAATAGTGTTGATTCTATCCATAGTTCAACTCGAAACTCTCAGAGTTACTGGAGCTCCTGATACAATATAAAGGCAATGTTTGATATAGTTACCTAATATTAATTTATTCAAAAGAACTGCAGGAAAAACTTTTAAATATGTAGAATTTATGGCTCTTTATAGTTCACCTTGTCTTTGTGGAAACAACATAAAATCAAAGGGTCATAGTTAGTGGTAATGTGAACCATCAAATCCAATTTCCTGTTCTAAATTTGAATAAATCTAATAGGAGATAGTCATCACCTCTTTGATTAATTGTTCCACCTTTCTGCTTCTCTTACATTAGGAAGTTTTTCCTTAACATTCACGTAGAATCTGTTTCCTGTAAATAAAATAAATTATTCACTGTCTAGTATTCTGGGATGTATTCTTCTCTTTGACATCCCACCACAAATGTTATTTACATTTATTTATTTATCATATTTATATGTCTGCCCATCACATAATCAAATGCTTCTTGGCATCATACAGCAAATAAAATGTTAAAATTATAAAAGGCACAAAATTGAAAAGTGATTGGATGAAGACCAGCTGTTAATTATACTGGAGCCATCTCAATATTTTTCCAGTTCCCTATGGTCTCCAAATCTGATGACATAACCTTAAGTGACTTCCAGAAAGTTAAAAAGAACTAGCCTCATTTCAAGAGAAAGAATCTATATACATATAAAAACGGCTGTGTGTGTATGTTCCAGCATAACTTTGGAAGGCCTCGAGCAATTTCAACCAAACACAGATGAC